GCTTTGTAATGTGGCTACCATTCTAGGTAGGTCGCCATCACAGCATAGATTGATTTGATGCTATTAGATGGTTTGAGGCAATCGGAAGGAAGCCTTCCACCTAGGTTTCGTGCTAGTTGGCACACATCATCGTAACACTAGTTACTAGTGTCCAATCAAAATATCCACTACAGTCCTGCAGGAGGTCAATCGCGAGCCCGAATAGCTCATTGGTGACGCCTCTGACTACAGGGCAGCACTGAGTGAAGCGGGTTCGAATCTCAGAAATGACATGAGTTCCTTCAAGACAGTTGCAGATACGCCTTGCTGACTACTCAGTGCCAACTAGCAGGAAACCTAGATCCAAGGCTTTCTGACGATTGCCTCCAACCATCTAATATAAATTAGTTGATATGGAAACTAAGGTGTGGTTTGGAAAATCTCATATTATATCAAGTAATGCTTTAATAATAGTCTACATTGTTAAACTTTTTTGTAAACACTTTTTGTTGATGCTCAGGTTGACAGACATTTTTGCTTCAATAATTTTTCTCATGTGATGATAACTATCTCGATTGTATTTTAAAGAAAAGAAGCAGCAGTTTTTATTGTTGTTTCCGCTTGATCAACCTGATAAATTTGAGTCTTTTGTGGGTTTTTTCTGCAGAGTTTTGTTTTTCATTCAGGTTGGTTATTATTAGTCTTTATTATTTCAACAGAATATCGTAGGAATTAGTGCCTAATTTTTAAACTGGTGTATGTCTGAATTCAAGAATATTCCGTTTAAATATCTTCTTCAGGCTTTACTTTATTTTGGATGTATCCTAGCTCATTTTTTAAAGAGTCATCTGTACAGATACGTCTTCCTCTATTCGTCACGAATAGATACATTCAAAATAAGTTGGTCCATGGGGTTATCCTAATAGATTTGTAAGGAGACAAATGAACAAGTACAATAAAGAGAAACTAACAGCAGTTGAAAAGAAACAACTGTTATGAAATTGCAGTTTAATGGGGACCTGGCTAGTGAAGTCTTACATCTGAGATTATCTAGAGCGATAAAACGGACTTATACCGCCGCCATCCTTTGTTTGCCATTTTCCAGCCGATCAGTTTTGATTGTTCAGGTGAAAGGTAAGCTACCTGGCTGTGCCATTTCTAAGTGTATCTATAAATTTAGTTGCTCCTGTGGAGAGAGTTGGCTATATAGGGTGAACAACTAGACAGCTTAACAAACGCATTAATAACCATCTTCCTTCATGGTTCGGAAAGGGTCAAATAAAATCCATACGAAGTTGTATTTTGGCTCATTTGATTGATGATAGCGGTCACCAAGTGGACAAAAATAGTGTCTTCAAAGTTATCTATCGCATTTCACCGAGCCTTTCGAACGGAATTCGAATCCGTCTTTTACATATAGCCCAAGAAGCGATGAGAATCAATTCTTCTAGAGAATAATCCTAGTGTCCTTGCATACAAAAGAAGTTTGTTCTACCTTTGTCTCTCCCTTGGCCCAGGTGAATTCTATTCAAAAACTGTCTCACTCCTTCCTATTTTCCGTCTCCTTCGTATTTTTGTGATATTTGTTTAAACTCTGATTATCTGTCCACTTCACATTTAGTATTACGTAACTTTTAACATTTGACCTAATTTATTTATTTATTGAATTCTCTACATATACACATATTACTACCTTTGTTATTCTTATCGCCACCTGCGTAAACCTTATTATCAATATTATTTTGTTATTATTATAATCCTCGTTATTAAAGTGGTCTAGTAGATAACGCTTTGGCGTTTGAAACAATAGGTACTGGGTTCGAGCCTCGGTGGGAACATCATCACTCACTGAGAAATGCAGGTACATCCAGCTGACGATTCCCAAATGGGACGAAATGCACATCCTGGATTCCGCTGCTAGCCACCATCCACCAATTGTATACACATCAAATCCCCAGACATCGTCGAAGCATCTGCACAAGAAGCCGACATGTCAACCTGAGACCGAGCACTTCGGTCCAATCAATCGACGGGAAAATCAAAAATTCAATTCAATAATCGTTATTAACTTCGTTCAAAATATTTACCACATTATTATTATTATTATTTGATCCACAAAATCACCGTCATTGGTTTAAATTTTATATATATAAGTCTATGTAAATTAGAGTAAAGCCTGAAGAAGATCTAATTGAAAACAACAATATTGTTCGGTTATATGTCTTGTTCTAATATTAAAAACTGGGAATATTTAAAGATATAAAGTTCTTCTGCTTAAAAAGAGATTATTTATTATACACGATTAGTCTGAACATTTTTCCCCGAACGCTTATGTGAATCCAAAGAAATACTGATATTTGTCATGTATACATGCTCATGTATACATGAGCACTGCATAAAGTTGTAGAAAGTGATTATTCAACCATAAACGTTGTACGCTTCGTCGTTTGTTGGGTTTTATGTGAAGATATATTTTCATTTGACGTAAAAATCTTGACTTGGTGTGGATGAAACAGGCTTTTGGGGAGTGGCATCAACGCTCACCTTTCTCATATACGCTGTTTTACTCGGTATAAACAGACTCCTAACTTGAACATGTAGGGTTAAGTAGCTGCTGAGGTAGCAGATGTGCATTGTTGTGCAGTGAAATGTTGAAAAGTCTCTAAATAATGAGATGAATGGCTTTGTAGTGTTTTCTGATTTTTGGTGTTTCCTCTAAATGATATTGTTTTCCAACGAAATCTAACGATTGAAATTAAACATGGCTGTACAATTATGTATGTTTATGTATACTGTATATTCTAGAATAGTAGATTTACAAAAGCAGCTCCTCGGGAACAACATCAGCGAGATACTAACATAACGGCTCAGAAATGCGGTAAAAGAGCATTCCCTGGTGTTGAATTACGCTGTTTCTTCAAAACCAGTCCTTTTTAGCGTCCGGCAGTTAAAGATAAACTGCCTAATTTCGCCCCTTCCATGTATATCTACCAATTTAACTGCTTCTGTGGAGCCGGTTAGTTGCAAATCCCGTACAATTAGGCGTGTTTATCGTCGAATTTCCGAACATCACCCTGCAAAGGACAAACAAGATCCATTCTTAGCGCTATTCCATCTCATCTTGTGGATACAAAACACAAGATTGATGTCAACGAGGTATCTTTCAGGGTTTTTTACGGCATACCAACAAATCTTGACTTCACCATAAGATTTTGATTACTAAATATTTCTGAGGCTGTTGGGATCCACATTAAGAAGACTAATTTGCGCGTCCAGAAAAGCTATTTCAGACATTTTCCTTACTTTGGCCATCTAGGTTTGAATAACGCTCAGTGTTTTTGTAGAAATTTCCTTATTTTTAGTTGATATTCTATTTGCTACTATATCTTTATTATTATTATTATTATTTAGGCATCTTTAATGAACTGTGTTAATTTCATTGATCTTACTTAACAAATCGACATTATTTAAAAAGCACTAATATTGTTATTGACTACTAATATAGAATATTATGTGTATATAAACATATATGTGTATAATTGCAGAGCCAGAAGTGGAAATTATCGAAGAAGTATATTCTTTGCTCAATTATTTTGTGTTTTATAGATGTCTGAATGAATATTTTTGCTTTATATTTCTTTATATTGTTTTTGTTATATTTTTGCGTTCCCATTAATACATAAAGCTTTAAATTTTGGCTTTTTTTAGTTTTATTAACGTTGCCGTTGTTGCCTTCTATAAGATGATGTTTCAAGCTACAAGCCGAACATACCGTCTTCTCTGTGCTTACTACGAGATATATAAGATTTAGGATGGATTGTTTTTGAGGTGGTTGTGTTCGCTAAGATGGATGGATGGATGGAAGCTTTCATAGCCTTATTAAGTGACGTGTACAGCGCATACATCATTTCGTCGAAATGCGCTTTTAGATTTCTCAACGAGTCTATTAATCATCTCTCCTGGTGACCTCGGACGTGATTGGTTGTTTTTGTATGCTTTCATACCTTCTAGGTTAATTGTATTGTAAAGCGAAAATCACTTTACCATATATAAAGGATTTCTCAGAAATCACACCAAGACTCCTCAAACCTTTAGGAATTGACGTCGTACACAAACGAACAAAATCACTTCACTCAGCTGGCTCTATGTCAACCAAAAGACTCAACAACGAAAGAAGATAAAACTAACATCATCTACAAAATAAATTGTAACAATTGCGAAAAACACTACATTGGCCAAAGTAGACGTTCGCTTCGTCTTCATATCCACGAACATAAGCTAGCCATCAAAAGACATGATATCCACTCCATCACTCATATCACTGCATATAGACAATCACGGATATCAATTTGACTGGGACCACCAGCCTTCAAATATTAGACAGAGGAAACACCAAGAGTGCTAGAGAATGTTTAGAAGCGCGCCTGGTATTCCAGTGAATCATCAATCAATAGTCACACCGAGATAGACAAAATGTATCAACCGATAAGAAAGAAACCTCTTAAACAGCGTGTTAAAGTTCGAGTGAAGGAAACAATCAGTTCCAATACAAGTAGCCACCTAGAAGGTGTGAAAACACACAAAAACAACCAATTACGACGTTGAAGGTCACTGGCAGAGATGCTTAATAAACTTGTGAAGAAATCTGAAAGCTCATTTCAATGAATTGAAGTATTCGCTGAAGATGTTGCCTAGTAGGGCGATGGAAGCTTCACAAATAAACTATCCAGCTCAGGGAAAACAACCACATCGAAATTACCCACCCTAATCACAAATCTTCTCTATCAAATTTAGGGATGAATTGTTCGATAATTCAACTTAGACCATGTGTTTGGTTCACTTATTAGTCTAAACTTCTTCAAGTATCGTTTCAGGTTTTTGATCAAAAATCATTTAGCTGAACAAATCATGTAGACAATTAATCGTTGAAAAAATCGGAAATAATATGATTTTTTGCATTTTGATTGCTATCTTGCTATGTTGTTCTTTTTATAACTTGTATACACTTATCAATTTTTCAGGAATGTTCACTCACGTTCTGCTGCTAAAGAAACTTTGGATATATTAAAATCAGAAGGTAATGCATTTCGCCTTTTTCGTCGATAGGTTTTCTTTACTTTTGATGTAGAATATAATTTTAAGCAATAGAACTCTTGTTAACTGTGGAAAACGATGACTGTTCGAAGGCAATCCACGAATTAATTTGGATAAATAGCAACGTAGTTAGTAAGGTTGTATCACAGTGACGCTGCGATCTATATCAAATATTTATTATTATTCCTTTGCGTTCCAATTTAAACATAGAGCTTCAACAACACATCTCCATTTTGTTCTGTTTCTGTCATCCTCTTCGGCTGGGCACACGATTGACCAATTACTTTCATCTTTTCCTCACACGATCTCCTCCATGTCACCTTAGGATGACCCACTCGTCGCTTCCCAACGGGAGTTCACTCGAGCAAAGGCTTGGCGTGCAATGCCTTTCGGCGGCCTCCTCAGCGTGTTTACCTGATTTATCTCCACTTTCTCCTACATATTTGTTAAGCGATCAGCTCTCGCCTACTGATTTCTTCCCAGAGTCTCTGGTTGCCTATTGTTTCTGGCCTTTGATTTGATCTTCATTATGGAGCCAGCGAAGTGAGCAGCTGTTGATGGAAATCTGCAACCTGTTGAAAATCCTTTTTGTGACACGCTGGCCACGTTTCTAACACGTATAGAAGAACTGGCTGACTTCAAATTAATGTTTAAAATCCGGATCTTGTTCCTCATGCTGTGTCCGGAAGATTTCCAAACTGGTTTCACGTTGATGAAGGCATATCTTTCCTTTCCGATTTTGACTTGGCTTTGACGTCTTCATCCGTACCGACTGCCTTTAGTTGAGACGATGCATCCCAGATAAGTGAAGGAGGTAACATTAGTTAAATTTCTTCGGTTGATGGTGATTAATGCTGGTTGTTGTATGCTGCTGCTGTCAGTTGGTTGGTTGTTTATCTTCATTACCTCTGTCTTCTCAGTGTTCACCTGCAGTCCTGTTTTCTCTTGCAAGTTTTCGAGTTTATGTGACACTGTACATAGATCATCTGCGAAATCCAGATCTCATTGAGTCTTCTCATAGGTGGTCTGGCGCATTGCTGACTCACCCTCGCACCCAACATTCTGACCCACATGACTCAAATTAACCAGATTCAGAGATATTTTTTTTGCTTATAAATGTGATGTGAAAATAGTTTTTATTATCTTTGAAGTAAAATATGTACTCGAATTTTATCTTTTCATAAAATTCAAAACAAAGATGGCTTAAGTTATTATATCCTTGGAATATTCACATTGGTTTAAAGGAATTATTAAAAATTAATAAAATTACAATTAGGAACCAAAATGCCATAATAAACAGGAGGAATGGATAAAACTCAAACAAGGAAGCGTCATAATCACTGAGAAGATGGACATATTGTGCAGCTAGACGTTGGAAATGTAAAAATAGTCAAAACAGACAAGATGATTGAATAAGAAATCTAGGAGGATCATAACTAATGTGACGAATAATTGTTAATGCAATCAGGAATTAGATATGTGGAAATATTAAATTGCAAAACAGACAGGAAGTTCGGATATGAAATATGGTAGTGTAAATAGGGATAAAGAAACACTTAAGATTAACGTGAATAAAGAGGAGGTTCGAATAGGAAATACAGTGGGATAGTCAGTGTTAAAAGTATTACTTGTTTATGATGGCGATGACAGGGACAAGGGTCGGACGTACTTCTTTTGGATACATAGCGTGAGTATCTTCTTCGGAGCACAGTGGACTTGTTTTGAAGTCTTCGTTTTTTATGAGATCCTTTCTTATGAACTTGGACGGAAAACTGTTTTCTGTCAGAGTTCCTCGGAGATTATACAGTGCCTCGTCAATCACTTCCTCTCTGCATATCTTCGGAATCATTGAGGAAAGGACGTATATCAGGTTCCTTTTTCTGTTTCGGGGCACGAAGAGTTGAAAGTTGATGAATGTCCAGTCCATGTAGGTTTTTTGTATATGGACCTTTTCAGAGAGTTGTTAGCGTTTCTTGTCAGATGGACGTCTACAAAGTGGAACATTCCATCGGATTCAGTTTCAAGAGTAAAGTCAATGTTTTGGTGGGCATTGTTGAAGGTTTGAAGTATGTTTTCAAGGTCCAGGTTCTCATCAAAAATGATGAAATTATCATCCAGTGTATCCCTTTTTCAAGAGATGGTGGTCGTCGATAATTGATGATAAGGAGTTTTTGGCAATGAGGGTCCTAGAGGAGAATTCATTGCTACTCCACCTACTTGCCTGTATATTTCGTTGTTGGAACTAAAGTATACGTTGTTAGATGCATCGTAGTAAGCGTTCTTTGAGGTAATGAATCAGCATACCAACATCGATTCTATTCGATTGAATGTAGTTACGAAAGGAAACATACAGCTTCTGTCAATGGAATGTTAGTGAAGAGACACAGACGATATCCAGGGAGACCATTTTCTTGTCTGTCACGTTGACATTCTTAATTCGATAGAATAAATTCGAATGTGTCACGGAGATAGATTGTGTCTTGACAGCTTCTCTTTCACCGACGCGTGAATCTCCACCAGCTATTTCGCGATTAAGTGATACGAGGAACCTATCATATCTAGTGAGGTCAACAGCACTCAACATGAAAATATAAATAGGATCCGGATTTTCAACTCCGCTGTGAGGTCAGTGCTACTAACCACACATATCAGAGACTTTGGGCGTCATAAAGGGCATTTCAAACAAACTACAGACCCTTATTAACAACTGCCTTTACTCAATACATATCAAGATCAGATAGCCAGATAGTCAAACCAACCAGAAATTGATTGTACAATAAATATGCATGAAGAAATGGAGGTTGATTGGCCATACTCTGAGTAAACCATCAAGTGATATCACTAGAAAAGCCATTGCTCAACTGGAACCCGAAAGGGAAGCGGCAAGTTGGTCGTCAGTGCGAGGGTAACTTGGAGGAAGAGGTCATGTGAAGAGGAAATGAATGTATGTGGGCAGACTTGGAGCCAGGTGAAAACTCTAGCAGAGAAGCAAACGCAGTGGAGACGCGCGGCTGAAGCAGTATTTTCCTCTAGGAATTAAAGGAAATAATAATAATTTCATTCTGTTATCTACTGCTGTCGTTTGCTAGCTCCTAGATCACCACACATAAAGTCTATATCCTTGTAAGCTACTGTATATAATATTTCTTGTATAATTTAATTTCTACCATATTCCACAGGTATAACTAAAGTTCAAATGCATGCCTTTGATGGAAGACCTTCACTGGCAATGATTGGTTTATCTGAAGGTTATTATTTTTCAATTCCAACAAGTCTACCAAAGAGTAAACAGGTAGGCATAATTTGCATATATTGAACTGTAATCAAACAACGATTTGAATAGTTCCACAAACATTGGGAGGCGCGTGAAAATTTGAAACATACACACATGTGGAAATTATATTTTTTACATAAATCTCAAAGAAATCAATAACTTAAACAAATAAAACTTTCACATATAGTCAAGTATACTGATAATCGTAAGTAGATAGTTATATTAGGTGTTGTTGCTATGGTAATAATTGACTGACCTTAAGCTAAAAAGATTTGTTTAAATCCACATCAGCCCTCAACAAACTTGAAATAATTTAGATATTATCATTATGATAATTTGTCAAACACGATTTAAAAAACTAATGTATTTCCAGTAAATTCTCATTAGGCTTCATAATCGTTATAAGTATAAAATTTGGAAACTGTGGTGGTAAAGTATAACTCCATGATGGATAAGATTTTATTTTGATATATCACGCAGTGGTGTTATACAGTAATATTAACTGATGCGACCACGTTTCGAGCACAAACTATTGTCACTCATAATCATATCAAGCCACTCACTTACTCACTCACACAACTTTCTTACTTCATTTGTATACATAAGTGGAATTGATGATTAGACATTTGAATCGAAATCAATAAAGGATAATGTACATTCAGAAATAATAATATGAGTGTTATCACTCCAGTACAATGAGACGGGCAATAAGACGAGTGTTTTTATAGTCATAATAGGTTACTTGTTAGAATGTTATGATGAGCGTGAATTGAATTGAAATGGAATTTTAAGATTTTTCATTATCCTTCTCTGATTCTACTGGCTAACTGCTGGTAATAATATCTCCCATATCTCTGATATTTGCATTGAGTCATTTCTCTTGTGTGTGTGTGTGTGTGTGTGGGGCGTAGACTCGATGAACCGAGCAGGATTCAGTAATCAATCTCCCTCTCTACCTACATAGTTACTTCTTAGAATTTTAACCCTCTCCCACCACCCTATTGTGTGGTTGTGTGCTATTGCATGCAGTGCAATCACTGAGCTTTTTTCTAAATTACTTATCTTCTCAGGTTGGTTCAACCTTTCTTACCTTAGCTAAATTCTTATGTTCCGGCAATCTGACTATCACCGATCTACCAGTTTGACTTATGTAGTTGACCTAACTCACAGTCATTACAGGGTTTTTTGTGAATTATATTATTTTGTTTAATTAGGCCAACTGGCAGGGTCCTTTAACCGACAGAGCTTGTTGCTGAGTGAGTTTGTAGCTTTGAATGCCACCCTAATTCCTGCTTTATTGAGAATCCTACATAGGAACTTAGATGTCCCTTTCCATCCCATGTCCTTATTTCTCATCTGATTGTATTTGAATGACAACAGTAATACCATTTCTGAATGTACATTATCCTTTATTGATTTCGATTCAAATGTCTATTCATCAATTCCACTAATGTATACAAATCAAGTAAGAAAGTTGTATGAGTGAGTGAGTGAGTGGCTTGATATGATTATGAGTGACAATAGTTTGTGCTCGCAACGTGGTCGCATCAGTTAATAATACTGTATAACACCACAGTGTGACATTTTATCAAAATAAAATCTTATCTGTAATGGAGCTTCATAATTGCACAGTAAAATATTAATCGTAGACATTTGAAGGAGTGTAAGTCAATAGAACTAAATAGAATCAAAGATCGAAGATTAAAGTTAGTGGATATCAACAGAGATGTTCATAATAATAATAATAATAATAAATAATAGTCACAATTAGGGTTGGTTCACATGTTTATGTAATCCAGGTAGTTGTGAATGCGTACGTAGAATGCAGATGCCGATAACGATCATCGAGGAATAGCTACTGTCATTTAGCATGTAACGACCGACGCTTACTTATAGTGGTCTGTAAGCAGGGAATCCATCCTTGCGTTCTACTGCATAGTTGCCTGAAACTTACTCGAGTTGTGCCCGCCTTGAAGGCGACAAAAAGATGGATAATTAAAGTGGAATATGGGTTTCAAATCAACAATAATTATATCAAAACTCAACAGTAATGTTAGGCAATATGGGGGTTCAATAACACATCTCCAATTTGTTCTGTTTTCTGCTGTTCTCTTCACCTCGCCTAGTTAACTAGTTCGCTAATTTTCTAGCCGTTCCCAAGCCAGGGTAAACAGAGCGTGGGGATAGCAACCTCACTCCACTAAATCTTTTAAACCGATGAAGAAACTTCAACACGAAGGCAATATTTTGAAAATAAGAAAAAGTGAACTCATCATGGCTTCAGAGGTTCTCGCTCAGAGAAATGAATAAAAAAGGAAGAATTATTCGCAGACTTCTGCTCTTTCAAAGATTTTGTGATCAGAGGGAGTGTGTACAAAAACAAGGTTATACACAAAACAACATGGGTTTCGCCTGACGGACATACCAAAAACCAAATAGATTTCATATCAATATTGCTCAAGGAAGTGGAGATGCAGCCTGCTGGATACAAAGTTCAAGAGGAGAGCAGATGTGGGATCGGACAAGCATCTAGTCGAAAGAGCCTTCAAGGCGAAGCTGAAATCCATGACAACAAATAGGGACAGGCCGCAATTCAGGTTCAATATTCAAAAATTGAGGGACAAAACCACAAGAGATGCTTCCGTTTCAGATATCCGAGCAAAGACGAACTTAGTACGTGGCATCACTGAGGAAACCTGGTGAACATAATTAGTTAACTAAAATTCGACTGCAAGAAGTACTTAGAATCAGGTAGAATATCCCAACAAGGTGGGATCAAAACTCTATGCACAAGAATCACAAACCAATAATAGTCACAGACAGTCAACTTTGTCGCGCAACCATGAAGGGAAGCATTAAAATTAGAGAATAAGTAGCGACAAAGGCATAATTACAAGGATGAAGTCAACATGTGATATACAAAGGTTAGGAAAGTGGTATACAGTCTAGATTGAAAATGGATAACAATTACAAAGCTTGCTGAAGCGTCCGAATAAGTATATATATATATATATATATATATATATATATAATGTAATTGGATTATTCAGTATGGAATTTACCAAACAATTGTTCAGTCAAATGAAGACTGGATAATATGACAATAATTTGTGGAATTATAATCAATGTGTACTAACATTACACAAAGTAATACTGGTAGTTTTGAACCTTCACTTAAAGCTTTTAACAACTGCAAAGAGTCCCCCTACAAACATAGTAGATGAACTTTAGCTGCAGATGCAGTCCTGTATCATAACACTGTCTCCAGTTTAGACAATGGCGCTAAATTTGTTTGCTGCACCTTCCTAGATTAAACATCTGCTCTCGACTTAGTACCTTTGGATATTTTGTTAAACAAACTTACTGAAACTCAAATTGAGTATTGGGTTGTCAAATGGCTGCATTTTTATTTCTCAGGAAGAAGGCAATACACTGTTTGTTGTTTATCGCTTACTGAATCTGCGTCCCCCAAGGCGCTGTCCTTTCTCCATTTTTGTTTTCTGTCTTGTTGCATCACCTGCCTCACTCTGATGAAGTGAACTTTGTTAAGTATGCCGATGATCTAAATATTTCAGTGTCTGTTAACTCCCAGCTAGACTGTACCAAGATGAACAGGAGTTAGAAAGTGGTGTTCGTCTAACGGTCTTAAACTGAATCCTTCCAAATGTCAGATTGTTAATCTCAGTTTCCAATGTGAAAAAAAGTTAAATGAAGCAGTTCGTTTTTATGACCCTTGGAAAATTGATGATACTGATATAGAAATTAAGTATGATATTAAGTACCTTGGATTAATTTTTTCCTCTGACCTATCCTGGTCTTCCCATGTCTTAGCGATTTCTAAAAGAATATTTCGTCTGACTTTTTATATTAAGGAGTTAAGGCACTCAGGCATAACCCAACCTTTCCTCTTACAGTTTGTCAACTCGTGCAGCTAACCTATACTTCCTCACTGTTCACCCTTGTTTATTCCTTCTTGGAATGCTTAAAAAGACTATGTCATACTCCGTAGAACTCTGAAGACTGTCAGTAGGGCAAGTGGTGTCCTAACCTATTGGGCCATTCGCTGAAGGGATTTTATCAGACTGTAAGCATCCACTTTATCCACAGTTTGCACCTGGCTTCTCCTCAGGTAAAACAAGAAGTCTTCCCAGAAGACTATGCACAAACGTCTAGGTATAAAAATCCCGCTACATGATATTTGGTACGTATTCTGTGTTGACAATAGTGTCAAGGACGAGCTAACTAACCTTCTCTGCGCTAGCAAATAAACAATTTTCTCCATTTTTATACCATTAAGCTTTAAGCATCATATTATTCGTACATTTATACTCCCCTCATGTTTTGTTTATTTTTTATTCATAAGTGTAAAAATAATTCAAGCTCTGTAATATTTGTTAGTTTTTGTTTTTTCCTTCACTATGCTATTTAAAGAGAACGTTAGATTCAAGACTCCATAACATGCTAAAATCTCCATGCTTTATTGACAATACTGTTGGAAACAAACCCACTCTTATCATTACTATTATTGGTATAGTTATTATTCTCACTTTGTGCTTTGAAGATTTTTGACTTTACTCCTACAGTAAATGTGAACAAATTCCCCTGATTAATTTTATTTATATTTTCAACAAATTGGATACAATATTATGACAAATGATGAGAATTCCATTCTGTATTATAAGTACTGTCTTTTTGGAATAAAGTAGATTATTATTATTGTTAAATTTAGCATTACAAATAAAAAAAAAAATACGTACAGTTATGTGTTATCACTGGAGGAGATAATTTTTCTCAGTTATAAGTGAATGTCATGGTGGAGAGGCGTGTTGAACGAACTTTCTGAAATAGATTTGACTGCAACGATTTTATGTCAAGTGTCTCATCTGATCTTGGCAATCGAAGATAAAAAAAGTTAGCATTTTTCAGGACTGAGTGAATATCAACCTTTTTGCCCCTGTATGTAACTCAAAAGTGTGTGACTTAACGACTCCATTACTATGAGATATACAATTACCTGTCACATATGTACTTTCTGATGTTGGATTACAATGCCATTTGTATAACCTGCGTATGAAAAAAGGCGATTCGACCAATAAACATTTGGGTGGCAGTAGATTTGAACCAGAGTTCTAGCTGTTACAGATGCTGAGCTCACTCAGGTGAGCTATGTGACTCAAAGGCTTAATAGCTTATTATATCAGTAAAATCGTTTCAGACAGTGGAAGCTATCAGACTCTTTCGATGTTTTATACTTAGTTCTCGAAAAGCTGTAGAGAAGCACACAATGTTTTCTTTCATCATCGAACAAAGCATGGAATGGCAATCAAACCTCCACCTTAACTTTATAGACTCTGAGAAGGCCTTCGACAGACAGCGTTGACCGCGAAGTATTTTGGAAACTACTCGAGTACCACGGCGTGCAGCGCCCAAATATTCATCAACCGAATTCAACAGCTGTACGACAACGGCGGCACATGTCAAGTGATCCACAAAAGAAAACTCAGTGAGGCCTTTGGAGTAAACACAGTAGTAAGACAAGCCTGCTTGCCTATTATCATCCATGATATTCCTAATTGTGGTGGACTGACTGGATTATTCGTCAGACAGTGGAAAAAGAGAAGACAGGATATCCACGACCGACCGACGTGAAGAAACTATAAGACCTGGATTTCGCACGTGGATGATTTATGTTTGATATGACACTAAATCTAAGACTTACAAGCGAAAAACCGACCGACAAACTGGTCGAAGAAGCAGCCGGCGAAGACAGGACTCCAAGTGAACATAGACAAGATGGAGGTTACGAAAATAACGAACGAACCAACCAACCAACCACAAAAGCAACAGCACTAACATTCAGCGCCAATCACTATCAACGGGAGGGATTTGAAAGAGGTTACTTCATTCATTCACTAATCTAACACACAGCCTTGTCTCAACTACAGGCAGCTGGAACGGACGAGGATGTCAAATCGAGCGAGAATCGGGAAGGTGAGAAACACATTCATCAACCTGAAACCAATCTAATCTGGAAATTTTCATCACTCAGCATCGACAATAAATTTCAGTCAGATTTTCAATACAAACGTCAGGTCAATCAGTTCAGCTATACGGATCAGAAGGTTGGCAGGCGGGTCACAAAGAATATTTCCAATAGGCTATTGCAGACCAGACCTTTATCAACAGCTGTCTTCGCTGTATACTGAAGATCAAATGGCCGGGCCGGAAAGAATGACTCACATGAAACAAGAAACTATGGGAACAAACAAAATAAGAAGCAATCGTCCAACAAATATGCAGGACACTCGCTGAGGAGGCCGCTGGGTGACATCGCGCGCTCGTCAGCCCATTGCTCGAGTGGAACAATAACATAAATAATACAATAATTTCGAATAGCAGAACATATTACTTTAAGATGCTTCTAGTGAGAAATAAATTGATATGCTCCCACTGCCCAACACGATATATATGAAAATCCAAGGTATCTATTATATTCCAACAGAGACCATGCACTGGTATAAAACACCAACCGATGGCTTCACTGACTTCAGCACTAAATGGCTACGGTTCGAAATCCATAAGAAGATGTTCCCTCCCCTCCCCCCAGAAGTTATGCATAAGAAAGGCTCACAATTCGCAACAGGCATGAAACCTATGTCAAAGGTTCAAGACAATTGCTTTTACCGGACACATATCGATTTTGGAGTGCACCACAATAACCAACCACCTAACTTGTCTGAAGAAAGTGAGTCAGAACTTATAATTAACAGGTAGATGCATGGCAATGTTTACAATGTCTAGTGAACGGCCATTATAGGATGTATAAGAATATTTTCCGCTGATAAGTTTATTGACAAAACTGAACAAAGGGAGTTGATATACGACGAGATTAGAAATAGTACACACTACACATAACCAATGGAAATCATACTCACATCACCATGTGCTTGCTTTCACTGGCTCCATACTAAATATCAAATAATCTATGAGAAAGAAAGAATACGCAACAAGAAACTCGAGGAACGAACCAATCAAGAACCTGCTAATCAAACAAATATGATGAAGAGAATAGACATGGATTGGGTACACGTCGATAAAACCATAGAATGACATCGTACGTCACGCAGGCTCTCGATTGAGGTCAGGATGGAAAACATCTGACTGAGCAATAGTTCATAGGTGGCCCTGAGAAAATCGTGCAAGCAGAAGATGAGAGCTCGTGGGCAATCTTGTAGCCAGAAAAAGAGGATGACAGAGAAGACGACAAAGTCGAGATGTGTTAAAGCCTTATATTCTACTCGATAAAAATATTGATTATAATCACAAAAATATGAGACATTCGTTGTTTCCTGATGCGAAATTAGTGGCATTTGTATAATATTTGGGAATCACATACATACGTGGTTATAATCACGCTAGTGAATATAAATCTAAGTGAATCAAATTTGCGGTCAAAAGTTAAAAGTTTTAACTCAAATAGATATGATAAAGAAAATGTGTAGCTCAGGCGGTTGATTTTGATGTGGTTGTGTTCTCTGAGCTGGACTGTTAATTTCCGAAGCTTTCATCGCCCTACTACACGAAATCTTCAGTTCATACTTCAATTCGTTGAAGTGAGATTTTAGATTTCTCCACGAGTTTATTAGTCATCTCTCCTAGTGGGTGACCTTGAAAGTGATTGGTTGTTTTTGTGTATTTTCATACCCTCTAGCCTACTCGTGGTTTCGGAAGTGATTGTTTCTTTGACTTGAAGCTTCACCCTTTATGTGTGAGGTTTCTTGCTTATCAGTTGATAAATTTTGTCTATCTCGATGTGTGTATTGATTGATGATTCACTGGAATACCAGGCGGGCTTCTAAAAACTCTCTAGCATTCTTGTTGTTTCCTCTGTCTAATATTTGAACGTTGGTTGTCCCAGTCGAATTGATGTCCGTGGTTGTAGTTAGGCATAAGATGGAATACATTAACCCATGCCTAACAACGTTCTTCCAATTCAACGGTTAAATATAACAACAAGTTAAAGGGACATGTATGGGATCGCCAATATCAGGTCTGATTGGAGAAGCAGTGATGCAAAGACGCGAAAACATAATCCTATCAACGATCGAACCGAAAATTCGGATATGTCACGTAGATGACAGATTTGTAATAATCATAAGAAACGAGTTAGATACAACGCACAACTTAATAAACAACGTCTTCATAGACATCAAATTCACAAGAGAAGAGGAATCCGAGAACAAAATCACACTTTTCGACGTCTTAGTCAAGCGAACAACCACAGCGGAATTAGAGGTTGAAGTTTATAGAAAATTTATTCACATAGACCAAATACTCAATACCAACTACAGCAACAATCCAATAATACACAAAAAGAATTGCATACAAACAGTATTCAAAAGGGCAAGGACTCATTGCGACACCCCACCTTAAGGAAAATTGAAGAAAGATACCTCACGGAGGTCTTCCAATAGAATGGATATCCACTGAATTTTATCGAAAGACATATACTCCTAAGCCAACGTATCAAATCAAAAGCCCCGAGGAAAGCACAGAAATGATCGCCCTACTATATACATAAGACATCTCAGAAATCCCTCAAGAAGCTTCAAATCTTCAGGAATCGACGTCGTACACAAACCAACAAAATCACTTCACTCAGTTGGCTCTATGTCAACCAAAAGACTCAACAACGAAAGAAGATAAAACCAACATCATCTACAAAATAAATTGTTACAACTGCGAAAAACACTACATTGGCCAGGGTGGACGTTCTCTTCGTCTTCATATCCACGAACATAAGTTAGCCATCAAAAGACATGACATCCAGTCCATCATTGATATCACTGCATACAGACAACAACGGACGTCATTTCGACTGGGCTAACCAACGTTCAAATATTAGGCAGAGGAAACAACAAGAAAGCTAGAGAATTTTGAGAGGCTCGCCTGGTATTCCAGTGAATCATCAATCAATAGATACATCGAGATAGACAAAATTTATCAACCGATAAGAAGGAATTGGAGAAAGTTATAAGAACAAAGCATTGAAATAAGGCAACATAGAATCAACATTTCTTTTACAAAAGACCAGATATAGCAAGGAAATGCAAACGTTATAGAAAACAAACTGATTTGAAAGTGGTTTTAAAGTGAATATATATATCAGGATTGAGGTAGTTGAACGGATTTCATTAGTTCAACGCTGCTTTATGTATTATGTATGGCATTGTCATATCGTCGGTGACAGTAAGTGTTATTATGTTTTACCAGTGCGAGTTGTTTTTTTCATTTAAGAAACAAGAATTGGTCAAGGCTCTACCACTGGATCGCATTTTAATCGAGACAGATTCACCCATTCTGTGCCTAGAAGAGGTGAGTTAATTATTATATATAAATTTTTTAAGAAATGATATCCGGTGATGGAACTGAATCAAATATGTGAATACATGAAATATTAATAATACGAAATGCAATTAAAATGTTTTTGATTATAATCATGGTTGAATGTCAAGTGGGACAATAATTAATGTCATATATAAAATAATACATGAGGTGTATAACTGTTGGAAAGGGGTGCATACTTATATGGCTAGTAGGCTAATATAAAGCGTGCGTCGGTGGCACAGCGGTTAGCATGCTCACCGACCATGCACATGTACCAGGGTTCAATCCCCGACCGACGCACTCCTTTACCCCGCTAAGCCAGAAATAATTCTGGTAAAGAGGAAAGATTGGTCATGAGGCTAGCGACCCCATCCTGTAAAAGTAAACGCTGCTACAGAAACTTCAAGCCACTAGCTTGTTCCACTGGGAACGTGAAGGAAAAATTATTTATTATTATTTTATACGAAGGTCTTGCTTAAATTCATGAATTACCAAGGCCTTCATTGTCTTTAAAAAGTCTATAACGATTAAGAAGCGGCAAATTAGCATGGATTCGATAGACGATCTGAAAATTATAGTCAGGATTGGTACAGTGACAAGAGTTGATAAGGTGTTCTAGAATAGAGCTTTGGACATCATTCCTTTCTCCCTTGTAAAACTATGCCGGAATATGTTCTCATATTCAAGTGGAAAGCTTTATCTGATGACGACCAGTCTACCTTGCTCCACAACAGCAGGTTAACTAATAGATACACATGGAGATAGTTAAACGAAGGAGATTATGTTTTACAGAGATGGAAAACAATTTGCAGCTGGTGAACGTCGATTGTAATCTTTGCACCACAGAACTTCTTACTTAGTGATTGAGAGGGATGGTTTTTGAGCACATCTAAAGCTTGGTCAACTTTAAATTCCAAATTCATGAATAAGGCTTTCATTGGAAGTGATTAAGTCAATGACCACCTTTGACTGCTTATCTTTCGTGTTTCTGCCAAGAAATTGGTTCGCGTAACCGTTTCCTGAGAGCGCTGCTTTTAGGAAGGCAAGTTCTGAGTCAGTGCAACTAGAACTACAAATGCTTTCATATCCTTAAATAGAGAAAATAAGTTAGGTTCCTTTCCGTGAAGACAGGTAGGTGTCTATCTTGGTTGAACATATAAGGGTTACTATTATTATTATTATTATTATTACTGTTGTTCCTGTTAGCAAACGAGAGGAATACACATAGCACACTTCAATTCCACCTTGTTCGTGCAGCCTTCTGTTGCTGTCTCCAAGATTGACTACTGTATAGTCTCACCACCTCGATGTTACACTCAGACTCAATGGTTCGAGAACATTAACAAGCTTGGTAAGACAGGGGGGGAAATTAATTGCATAAAAAGCTCGATCTTGTCACACTTGGTCGCTGCTGGACATCATATCGATGTCAACACAGCTTTCAGGGTTATATATAGAATTCCGAAGTCGTTATCACGTGAAGTTTGCTTATGTCTCCTACACATAGCTGTAGCTGTTGCAATAAGATCGACTAAACCGGAACTTTGTATCCAAAAAGAACACGTGCAGACGCTGTTCCTACTGTGGCCAAACTTGGACTGATGATTCTTCTTCTCACCAAGAGTGCTCTTTACCCTTAATTCTCTTATTTTTTTCCTTTGTTATTATTAAAAATATTATTCATACAGTTATCATGATTATTCGCCATAGTTTATGTCCTGCATGCAAACATTCCCTGAATACTATCGAATTTTCTATTTATACTATCCGAACTTATTATTAGTGATATTATCTCTTTTCTCAATATATGCCTCCACCTGTTTCATTTCGCATATTCGTTATTTCATTATGAACCTCTCATTGCAGTTTTACTATCTCCTGTTTAAGACAGACAACTTTATTCTAGCCACTCACTCACCTGACATGTTTTGTAACCTCGAAATGACCTGTCAATTTTCCTACTCCACACTCTACAAATCTATTATGATTAATCACCACCATTGTCTCCAATTTCACCGAAATCTTTTGTAATCTATTTCAGCCCAGGGCACGTTTGTCAGATAAATACGACTATTTATTTTGACACCCCATAACTGCTAATCTGATATTCTACGTTAAAAATGTATCCGCCGCATAACTGGCCTTTATTGTAACCACAGTAAATATTATATTTTATAATTGTAAGAACCTGAAGAAAAGAAATTATTGAAAAGAACATTCTTCGTTCATATTGACTTTTAATTCATGATATGAGAATATTTCACAGTATCAAATCTTATAACTCGCATGAGACAAGAGATACTGTGCGATAAAGAAAGCACTAGGTCTGAAACTTATAACTTATTAAATAGTCAGTAGAACAACTGGATCTCGTCTTTCCAATTCATGTCATTTAAACGTACAACTTTTTCTTTCTTTCTTTTCCTTCTCTCTCTCTTTTTTTCTCTGTTATGTGCTTCTTTGTTTCTTTCTTCTGCTTACGCCAGTAAATATGCTAGAATCTACTCTTCTAACACCTTCATACACTCCGTTCAATTTGGGCTTTTCTACCGACATACCAATGTGTTGTTATCATACTGAACTGAGATTTCCTTAATCTATGTAGAATTTTATTTATTGATAATGTACTAACTGGATGCAATACTGTATGTAGTGAAATACTGAGAATTCCATTCTGTATCACAAGTACTGTTTTGAAATAAAGCAAATTATTATTTTTAAAAAAAAGGTTCATTGGCGGAGTTCCCTCTGGCCGGCCACCCGATCTTCAGTATGGAAAGAAAATAGCTGTTGACATAGGTCTACAGCAAACTGTTTCTGGACCATAAAGAAACAGTGACTGGCTTGAAATAAGTACTGAAAACCCGAGTATTGCTCATTATGCTTACTGAGGCAAGTTTACCTTTAAGATGTCACCTACTGAACAATACCGTCCCATTATACTTCACGTCGAATACTACATGCTAACATTTGAATCTCTGTATTATACTAAATGGATAAGGAATAAAACTTATTAAGTCAAATTTGAAGTGAACTTTTAAATGCTTATTATCTATAAAGAATAAAAGTAAAATTTAAATTTTGAAAATTTGTAGGCCATGAACATGTTCCGAGGTTCGATTCCCAGCCGACGCCCTCCTTTGCCTTGGTAAGCCGGCAATAAGACTGGTAAAGAAGGAAATTTGGTCATAAGACCAGCAACCCCATCCTGTAAAAATAATCACCACTGCTACTGAAACGTCAAGCCTCTAGCTTGAAGCCTTGTGTTCCACTCGGAAGGTAAAGGAACTCTTAAAAAAAACTGAGCATTTCTAAACTTTCGCCTTTTAAACTACTAATAATATCTTCTTCGACTTTTAAAATAGAAGACTTTCAGCAAAGAGTCACTGTTTTCAGCGAAATCATTCCCAGCCTCTACAATCACAAATGTCAAATGTCAAATTTTCTTATCAACAGAAAGAATGTTTCCAAAGGTGTGCCATTAGAATTGTGAATTATTAGATAACAGTTACGTCGTGGCACAGAAAGCGTTAATCGGTTAGGAACTAAAATAAAATTAAATAAGTTGAGTCAGTGAGGGTAATTTATACGACGGGACTGAGTATGGCTCAACCAGCATTGAACGAGAGTCAAGTTAAGAACAGTCGTAATAACGAATAAAAATGTAATAAGCGGGAGAAAATGTTACAGGTAAAGACAGAGAAATTACTTTCTTGTATCAAGAAAGATTAGGTGAATTGTAAGTTCAGTGACTGAACAAATCCTGTTCTGTATGCAGACTTAGGGAAATAACATGTGAATTGCCATAGCTTCTACGGCTTTATAAAGACAAGATAAGACCCCGGCAGCTCTATTGTAGAAGAGCTGATCAAGTCCGGACACTGAGAGAACCTACAGGCCAATTTCAAACTCACCTGTAGAATCCACAGTAATCTTGCTAAACAAGTATGAATAAATCTTCAAACCTTAGAGTTCCAGTCAATCCCATTAATTACATTGTAACGACAGAAGATAAGAGTCAGGCAGCACATCGTTTATTGACAGAATCAAGAGATATTTATAGATTTTTATGTAAATTATTATTAGCGTTATTGTTAGCAAAGAAGCACTGTCTTCTGATTGGTTGTTTTCATGCTGAAAGTTATTCTGTACCGCTTGTTACTGTTTCTCAGAAAGTTAGGCCATATATCTGCAAATGGTATTTTTTCACACGCTAACTCCGCTGTGACTGGCTGGTGAGTTCCTTGAGATTAAGCTTTGTTATTTTTTCTCTCGTAACCCCGATTATATATATATATATATATATATATATATATATATATAAATGTATATCGATGTGATTGTAGAGCTTTAGAATGATTTCGTCCAAAGCAGTAACTCTTCTCCAAACGCCTTTTATGTAATGTTTGTTGTCTAATATACGATACGTGACTTACTGCAGTTTCTGGGTGTTAATCCCCGAATTATTTATTATGTATTTATGGGTGTGGTAAAATTAAACATTGTCAGAACATTTTACCATCTTGGCTTAACACCTCAAGTGATATGTGAGTAAGTAAGCCTGTTGTTGAATGGAGCCATAAGACAAAAAAAGAGATTATGGGATTAGAAATCTGAAATGTGATCACATTTACTTTGAAATGAGAAGGCAAATCCTAACTCTAACATAAACTGATAATATTTTTCTAAAAACTGGTGAGCAGCTTTTATGAAAATGGATTATCATTATTTTGTCTTTACTTGAGAGAACTCATATTCTAATTAAACCGTAGTCAGGTAAACACATTCCATAGGATTTTTTTCTTTCAAACATGATCTTATTCATATTAGATTTCATGGGTTATTGTCATCTGCTATTGATGGAATATTCATAAAACTCTTGAAACAATTTTCTGTCTGCTTTTGTTACTTTATAGGTCAGCTATTCTTTTTTTTAAATAGATTTTCTTGTTCTGTGACCTAGTATTTCAATTTTTTAATCTTGTCAGTGGACTCATATATATATATATATATATATATATATATATTGCATTAAGTATACATGCTGAGAATATAATAACACAATCAAGTAAACTGTTAATATGAATTTTAATTAATTAATTTCATTTCATTTTAAGATTGATTGTCACTAATCGACTTCACTTACAGAACGCAATTATTATGATTATTATTGTTTTCTTTAGTTCCTAGAGCAATCAGGAAAGTCATTGGAGATAGTAGGCAGCCAGCCAGCCAGCCAGCCTTCCTTGTCTCACTCCTATCTTCACTCCTTCGAAGGATTCCATAACTTTCCCGTTGTGGATCTTTTGGTATGCAGCATCTCCGTACAACTGTTGGATGAGATGTACAATTGTTGGCTGCACCCTGTAGTAGCGAAGTAGTTATCAAATCAAATCTTGATCGACGCTGTTAAAGACCTTTACAAAGTCAATGAAGTTGAGTGAGGTAGAGAGGTGACTACTATTCCAATCTCTGTTCAGTGATGATTCGTAGTGCTGCAATTCCTCCCAAATCCAGCCTGTTCCGTTCGAAGTTTTTCATCCAGGGCTTGTTTGATTCTCCTCATAATGATGAGACTTAGTATTTTGCTTTGGATGGATAGGAGCATAATTACGCGCCAGTTCTTCCAGTGACTCAAGTATCTCCTCTTTTGAAGTTTGAATCACTAGCCTTTCTTCCAATCCGCAGGTACATCGCCCTCTTTTCACACTTTTTCTAGTAATGGTGTCATTAAGTCCGTTGATGTCTCTGGGTCCATTTTCAATGATTCTGCTATGATTCCATCTGGTCTTGTTGCTTTCCAGGTTTTAGCATCTTCATTGCCCTCAGGATTTGTGTTATCGTCGGCGGATTGATGTCCAGTGGTAGTTCTGCTTCCGTTGTTGGTATTATTGGGTGCGTTGTATGCTGCAGTCGATTGAGAAGTCTTCTGAAATCCTCAGAGCAGTGTTTTCTTTGCTCCATCTTTTTGGTGATTGGATTTCCATTATCGTTCTCCACTGGCTGAAATTGTGTTGAACTTTTCCCCGATAGCAGCTGACTCCGCAGCTGCAGTCAAACTGGTAGATACACACTGAAGTTTATCCTTATTTCTCGAACGTAGAACATGAGTGGTTGTGAAGAGACATCGTACCTCTGCTGCATAATAAGCTCTTTTAACTGCATTCTTCAGGCGCTGTGTTATTATTTCGCTGATGTTATCGCCGAGGAACTGCAGTTTTATGAACATTGGTTTAAATTTATCAAACGAACAGACTGTTTCAACACTACGATGAAGTCATAAAGGTTTATTATCTAAAATTAAACACTTCAGTTTAATAATGTGTTAGTTAGTTAGTTAGATAATAGTAATAATTTGCTTCATTCCAAAAACAGTACTAATGATACAGCAAGGAATTTTCAGCATTCAGTACTAAAAATAAACATTACATAATAATAATAATGAAACGTTGTTATAGAAGCTACATAGCAAAATACTGTATGCAATACGCAGAAAAATATGCATAAAGTATAAAATTGTAGTAATAATAGCAATAACAACTAAAATAAAAACGCTAAGTTATAATTAAACGATAGAAGGTGGGACACCATAAAATACAGAAAGGTGAACGATAAAAGGGTCGATTCACTGTGCTAGTTACATAGTAACTTATGTGTTTCACGTCTAACAGAGTCTTCGTCACATAAAGTATGCGCTAAATAGGGTATTGTAGAATTTCTGTACTTAGTGGCTCCAGCATATAACTTTTTATATTGACTTCTCGTCCTACCTGATGAGATACAAGGGGATAGTTGTGAATAAAGGCGGTGCAGAGGGTCTGACAGTACGGCCTTTGCCCATTTTGTACAGGTTTTTATGTGTCTCTCGACTAAAGTATTGGAGAGCTCACGCAGTGGCATACCACAAACCCTACTTACAGCATTTAATACTCTTCGTAATATGATATAGTCTTTTTTGAGAAGCCCAGGAAAGATTAATGGAGAGCAATAGAGTACAATAGGTAAAATACAGGAGTTTAAAACTTTCAAAACTAAAGGTTGATTGATACCTGATTGTCTTAACTTTTTAATGTAGAAGGTAAGACGAAACAGTTAGGCCATTGTTGTTACTTAACTGGTTATTTATGTATACAATCATTATCTTTTGCTTTCTATACTTTAAAGGGTCGTAATGAACCAGCGGAAGCAATTAAAGTATGCGAATATATCGCTGAGATAAAGAAAATTGATTTTGCAACTGTTTGTCAAATAACAACAGAAAATGCATTCAAACTCTATGGATCATTAGATGTTAAGTGATGATTTGATTTGCTTCTGAGAATCGGAAAATAACTAACCATCTTCAATAAATGTATATCATGTTTGTCTATGTATTTTCGACTGTCATTAATATAATTCTATGAAACAAATATTGGACGCTTTTTCTCCTAATGATTCGAATTTTAACTTCAGTTTGGTATTTTTAATAGCTTGAATTCTTACTTCTGTGGAGTTCCGTCTACCGGCAAATTTCTGCAAACTACAGACAAGGGGAGGGGGGAACATTAAGCCTCTTAGAAGATTTCATCATAATCCAAAGTTATCGTGGAGATATGTTGTGTTGTGTATGACACAACCAATCAGTTGAAACCTGAAAGCATTCCTCAGTCTTTCACACACACGCATACACACAAACTCAATGGGTATCGGAATCCAGTTTGCTTTTGAGTTAACAAATGAGCAGAGTGAGCTGGCTATGTTAGACTGCAGTATAAAAAGATAATAGGCTGGTGGGTTAGATAATACCATCCATATGAAACCTACACACACGGCTACAAAGATTTAGAACTGGTAAAGGTGTAGGTTTAGTTGAATGTCTATTAAGTCAGACAAGGATCTAGTAACTAGTAAATCAGAAGATTCATGTATCATTACTATTGTTCTCTTGGGTTCCTAGTGGAACATAGGGCTGCAACTGTATGTCTCCACTTGCCACTTCTGTATTCTCCTGTACTTTTCACCTGCATCCACGTTAGTCCATACTCTTTCAACTCAACATACTGTTTCACACGATCTCCTCCATATCACCTTTGCACTGACGTCCCACTTGCCACTTCCCTTTCGGCCTGGTTCCACTCGAGCAATCACCTGACTCGCGCGTGATGTCACCCAGCGGCCTCCTCAGCTAGTGTCCAACCCATCTCAATCCACTTTCTCCTGCATATTTGTTGGGTGATGGGTTCTTGTTTTCTTTGTTTGTGCCTATAGTTTCTTGTTGGTGATTCTCTCCGGCCCGACCATGTGATCTTCAGTACAGAGCGAAAACAGTTGTTGCTTGATAATGGTCTGCAACAGGCTGTTGGAAATATTCTTTGTAACCCGCCCGCCAAGTTTCTCATCCGTTCTGTATAGAAGAACTGACTAACTTGACGTTGTTTGAATTGAAAATCTGACTGAATTTTGTTGTTGACGCTGAGTGACGAAGATTTCCAGATTGGTTTCAGGTTGATGAATGAGTTTCTCGCCTTCATGATTCTCGATTTGGCATCCTCGTTCGTTACTTTGAAAAGATTTATGCGTTGAATTCAAACATATAAGGAAAATAATGAATTATAGGTACCAACGCAAGTTTACGCAGGAATCTATGCAAACACGTAGAAAAAATATAAGAATAATAATGAAATTGATAAAAATAACAATAAATAATACGAAATTCTCTTTACTCTGTAGTACTGACGTATTAAGAGGGAACAGCAGAGGCCTAAGCAGGATTTTTAAACGAGGCTGGAATTATGGTGGCATTTGAACCAATCACCCCACCCAGAGACAACATTTGTCAGCCTAAGGATGAGACAGATCAAATAAGGAAAAATTATTTAAACAAAGCAAGAACTACAGTTTTAGCAGAATAAAATGGTACCATCTTTTATTTCGTTGCCTTCTCGTCAGCTGCTTACATGGCAAAGACATTATTTAATATATCTACAACAACAATTTTAACATACTTGCACAGAGTTAAGTTTAAACAAAAATCAATCGATCAATATACGCATACACTAAAAATATGTACATATATAAATATGCAATATTAACCACTATTCCGAACAATAATAATCAAACACAATGGAAACGTTTAGCATTTCACATTCGGAGGAAAGAGAGGTGAAATAATCCAGTTACCAGGGCAAAAAAGGATGATAACCGCTTCTTTATGGACGCATAAATCAGGTTTCAGACGCTTGATGGAAATAGCTTCAGCAAACTTAAGGAGAATTGAGCTATTTTGCTTATTGATAATTCTGAACGACTTTTCGACGTCCACCTCATGACCCGTGTCGAGTAGATTCCTGGTGATGGCACTGTTTAAAGCATTTGTTCCCTTTAGACGTAAGCTTTTTGGTACATGTTCAGAAAATCGTAGATATGCCCTTCTTTCTCTCCTTCCAATGTAAGGGCATATCTACGATTTTCTGAACATGTACCAAAAAGCTTACGTCTAAAGGGAACAAATGCTTTAAACAGTGCCATCACCAGGCATCTTCTCGACACGGGTCATGAGGTGGACGTCGAAAAGTCGTTCAAAATTATCAGTAAGCAAAATGGCTCAATTCTCCTTAAGTTTGCTGAAGCCATTTCCATCAAGCGTCTGAAACCTGATTTATGCGTCCATAAAGAAGCGGTTATCATCCTTTTTTTGCCCTGGTAACTGGATTATTTCACCTCTCTTTCCTCCGAATGTGAAATGCTAAACGTTTCCATTGTGTTTGATTATTATTGTTCGGAATAGTGGTTAATATTGCATATTTATATATGTACATATTTTTAGTGTATGCGTATATTGATCGATTGATTTTTGTTTAAACTTAACTCTGTGCAAGTATGTTAAAATTGTTGTTGTAGATATATTTAATAATGTCTTTGCCATGTAAGCAGCTGACGAGAAGGCAACGAAATAAAAGATGGTACCATTTTATTCTGCTAAAACTGTAGTTCTTGCTTTGTTCAAATTCATTAAGGGGAATAAATGTATGAAAAATTATTTAATTTATCAAATAGCATGCAGTGACTGTAATACCGGTTATATAGGTCAAACTAGTAGATTGGGTTTCAACCACATAATGGGAACATGAAAACTAAGCTAGATGCAGAATGATTCACCCTGATAAGCTAAAAAAACCTTCAAAAAAAGGGAAAGTTCAACAAAAGCGTCTCAGGTGTGCGAACGCACGAGTGACCTTCAGCTGACCTCAATCATAAAAAGGAGGAATGTTTGCCAAGAAAATGCTTGAAAACGCATTTAACAGGTTATCTTTCTCTGATGTTGATTAAAACTCCGCCTTAGTTGTAACAGGGAGTATCAGTTGCTAAGTTAGACTAGTTTCTATACATGTAACTATAGATAAACTGCTTTTGTAAAATCTTTTTATTTCTCTCATCCTGCTTGCCGTCTTCCAAAAAAGCCCCCGGTTGAATTATTATGGTTTCCAGAAAGACGAGAGACGACTACTTACCAGGAAAACGTGGATAATAAAAAAAATTAAAATAAATGATATCAACTATAATTCTATCTCTAATCGTAACCATAAGATAACACTTAACCTAGCCGTTATCCTAATCATAAGCTTTATTCAAACTATAATTCTAACCCTTATGCTAATTATAACTCTGATCCTAACTCTAACCCCAATACTTACCTTAACTCTAATCCTTACCCTAACGAGCTATTAACACATTACCGAAACGGTACTTAAAAATGTGATCTGGGTGAAATTTGCTCCTAAGTGGGAAAATGGCGTTGATATAATAGCTTTGATAATGACAGATGCCGTTAGCCAACGATTAGCATGCGTTCAAGATCATTGGAGCGTTAACACTCCTGGTACGCTATTGTTGAACATCACTGAAAAAAGCTTAGCCACTGTTTGGCATACACCTCTATGAAATCACTGCATAGGTTGTGATCGGGTGAAAGTGTTAAAAAGAATTGTAGTTAACTGGGAAAAGAAAGACGAACTAATCACTGACTTTGTGTTTATCGAAATAACACCGAAAATGTGCATCCCTGAAAGGCAAGTCTGCAAAGTCACATTTGTGCCCGTAGCCTATTAATTCTGACTCAAAATGTCGTTCTTTGTGTCATCCCACTATGACCAGTAGAGTGCAGCAGGTTGGGTGGGAGGATAAATACTCGCCGAAGACATTGGCTAGGGGTCACGATATGTAGTGAATTGGCAGAAGTTAGAATTGATGGGCCATTGGATTTGATCCCAGTGAGTGGCTTAATGGTATACGAGCTCGCCTTGTAATCAGAAGGTCCTGGGTTCGAATCCCATCCGTACTGGTGGGATGATGAAGAATCCCAAACTAGGACGAGGGAAACAGCTGTCCAGCACTCCCAGTTGGTTTTCCAATGGTTCCCTAACTATTGTCAGCTCATGATGAAATTCTCTAACCAATCGAATCCCTACAAACCAACACTTGACCATTCCACTGTGAGTATGATAATTAGGCTAGCCATGCTGCGCAATTGATAGCTTCCCCCTTGTGTAATCCTTTTTCAGGTAATTAAACTCAATTTTGTTCTCTTTGCAAACAGCGACCTAAGTGAGTCATTTAAACTTCTTTACACTGATAAGTTTCTTTAAATTACCTTCTCTGACATTACTTATAGAGGTTTATTTAATAGCTCTTGCTTTAGCAGTAATGGGTACCAGCAGCGGGTATCTGCACTCACTGTTTGATTGCCACTTAATTTTCAGCATGCACCTTGAGTATGTGCACTTTAATTTACAGCGAGTAGGTAAACGTTGGGCTATTATCCCATTCATAGCACTATGCTTCGACTCATTTGTATTATTAAGACATATATATCAGAGTAGTTCTACGAATCACATGACTGACGAAGATATCTAAAGGAGATTGTGATATCATACTTTGTGTATTTTTTCGCCTAAAGTAATCCCAAAAATATTCGTTTAATAATGTTCTCTTCAGAACTCAAGGTAGTATCTTATAATAAGATATTATAACCCTGAGTGATAAATACACTGAAATAAGCATCAGAGGAGTAGATACAATCCTCTAATTCACTTAACTAAAACAGTGAAATGATATAAAAAAAAATCCCATTGAATAAAGCAAATGGCGAGATATAAAGATAACACCACAAATTGGCTTAGATTAAAGTTGTACAAAGCGATTTACAGTCGAAATAATTCATGTTCTTATAAAGATTTATAGACGCTGGCATTTAAAAAAATACCGTCTCTTGCTCAAATTTCTCTCAACTGGCTGAATTAATTATTAATAATAATAATTTGCTTTATTCCAAAACAGTACTTGTGATACAGAATGGAATTCTCAGTATTTCACTACATACAGTATTGCATCCAGTTAGTACATTAACAATAAAATAAAATTCTACATAGAT